TCGTACCTCACTTTGCTACTAGCTTCTCAACCAGACTAGGCCTGTAAACATCGAGCAAAAAGAATCTACCTCACAGCTGACCGGATTCCATCGAGCTCTGTTCTGAGTACCAGTTGTTCAGCAGTATGGTCTTCTAAAATCGCGCTCATTTAGTTACAGTTTATCGAAAGACTGCTTTTAAATCGACTTGTTGCTTACGGCAAAAACTGAGCAGAAGTTTTTGCATATCAGTGCACTGCACCTGCCAGATGGGATGGCATGACGTAATCCTCCCGACCCAGTTAGCATCGGTGCATTGACTGACGAAATTTGTCCGTTCCTGTTCAAAGCAAGAACTGCTTTTATGCAATTCTCAGAAGAGGAAGCCATCAGCAATCTTGAAAGCGAATACAATTACTCGGTTCACTTGCAGTTGCCTCTGTTTCTCAGAAAGGGAGAGGAATTTGGGCTAAACTGACCCCGGATAGCATTGGCATTCGGGAATGCATAGCTGTTTAGAGCCGCTTCTCCCTCCGCCTTTTGGAACCAAATATTTTTCACTGTCCAATCATCTTCCTTTGCTCATGCTGATGTGAACGATTAATAGTGCGCGCAAAGCACAATATTTGTTGCATTATTTCCTCGATGTTTGTAAATTTCTTGTTTGCAAATGTGTCATTTAAATGCTGAGTGTAACACTCTACGCGCGGCTCTTCTCCATTGCGTTATCTCGAAGCAAAACTCTCAGTTATATAGTGGTTCTCACATAACTCTAATTTGAAACTGTAGAACAGTTGCCGCCAACTATGGTTGACATAGGCTGAACTTTATATATGTATGTATTCGAGTGCTTTTGTCCTGTAATTCTTCAGTTTGGTCCGCGACGGCGGATCGGGATCTTAAGCGGCCAACTCATGCCACAGTGGGTCAGTCTGGACCTCTTCAGCTGTAAATCGCTGCCTAGCGCAGTACTATCCAGGGAATAATGGGATATCATACGACATCGTTTGTAATATTTCAAAGATGGCGAACTGCATACGTAATCTACAATGGCGTTAAAACAATTTTGCTCAGCACAGGAGAAAGACAGAGGAATGTTGGGGGAGTTAGGAAATTTATCATCTTTTGGAACTGGCCTCTGCAAGTCATCTGTCACTTCCACTCCCCAAAAATTCATTTACTGCTTTTTAGAGTAGGCTTTAATCAAGTGCTCAAAATCGTTCATTTTATGCTCCCGCATGGCCAACGACAATGAATGAGTTTGAGAATTTCCACACTAGAATTGAATGCACTCTTATCATCAAAACTGCACGTGCGGCGGTCGTGGGAGATTTCGATGAAAAACTTTTTCGAGAGTGAAGTGGTGTACAGCAATACGTTGGCAAATGCACCATTGGCAAAAAGTGTAGACATGCCACAATTTTTTTTTTTTTGTGTAGTCTATCAAAATGATAGAGATGAACAAACTGTTGTTGGTAATACGTGGTTCTGGAAACATGCAGGAAAGAGATGAACTTGTTTTGCGCGAAACGTTTGGTTCGTCAAAGAACAGGATTTCCGAAAGCAAACGAAAAGAACAAAAATGTTTGATTCTAGCCGTATTGTTAATCTCTTTTTAATTTTTCCGTTAAGGATTTTAGCAGCGTAACGAGGATTTTATCAAAAATACATTCAGTAGAATTTCGTGGGATGCAAGATAATGAACAAATCATAATTAAAACTACAAATAAATAGCGGCGCGTAGCAGGATTGCCGGTGCGACCATGCGTTTTGCGCAGTTCCGTCCAGTGAACGTTTGCCTGCTATGGATTTCCACTGCTTTGCACTTTGGTCTGTGCAAAAATAATTGAAATGTTGTCTGGTTCCTAAGCTGTGAAATTTCCCACTAAAACCTTATACGATGGACATCCTTCCAAAATCATCTTCCTGATTTTCTTGGCTCTTGAGTGGTTTTCGCGCCAAAACTTTTAAGTGATCCTGCGTGGGACTCAGCATAAATGGGAACTGAATTTGAGTATGACACCTGCATAAACAGAAAACATCCTCCCGAAATTTCCAGCCTCCCACCTCTTCTGGCTTCCGGCTGTTAATTTCTTGCCAAAATATTCATAGGGAAGTTAAGACCAAAGCGTATGTGAAAGCCGAGTTTGAACTTGCACGGTCATACGTTAGCGGAGGAAGTTACCCTAAAATTTCATCTTCCTAGCTTTAGTGATTCCCATGCTAATTATCCCCGCCAAAATTTTCACATGATCGTACGTGACCTAGGGGAAAGCTAATTTAAAGTTACGGAGTTGTGGTTGGGCAGGGGACATTACCGTAAAATTTCGGCCCTCTGACCTTTGTGGTTCCCGAATAGTAATTTTACCCGCCAAAACTTTCACGGGGCCACACGTGATATCAGGCCACGCGGAAGAGCTCATTCCAAATGTGCTGGGCCATACGTGGGCAGGGGACATTGCCGTAAAATTTCAACCACCTAGCTTTCGTGGTTCCCGAGATGATAACTCCCCCCGCCAAAACTTTCACGGGGTCGCAGGTAGCACCCAGGCGCGTAGGCTGCGGGGTCACACGCGAAATCAAGGGTGTAGGATCACACGCGAGCAGGAGTCATTATCCTAAAATTTCAGCTTCCATGCTTTCATGATTCCCAAGATAACAACTTTACCCTCCAAAACTTTCACGGGATGGTACGTGGGTAGGGGAAGTTTGAATTAAATCTGAGGGGGCACACGTGAGCGAGGAACATTCCCCAAAGAATTTCAGTTTCCTGGCTTTTGTGGTTCACAAGTTGAAAG